TCCATAATTATCTACATGTATTGATATGAAAGAATATATATTATGTCTTTTTTTACGGCTAATTTGTGTTCCTGCATTCTGATTCGAAGTGGATGTAAATCGTTTACCAGTCACGAATATGGTTGTCAGGTGACACAATTCTATCATTCTTGGAGAATTTAAATCAGTTCGTTTTATGCAGAAAATTGCGCTGAAGATGTCCAGAAGGACGACGAAATCTTTGTAATTAAACCAACCAGCTCAGAGAACACAGTTAATTACATATTAGCTACCTGAGCTACATATCTTCTCTGTTATTTCAGATATCTACCTTATCATTATCTTTAGAATTAATACTTACATGTGTTATCCATTTGTTCTAAAGATTGTCTTTTTTATGTTAACTCAAGTCAGAATGATCTGAACTTTTATACGATCGCATTCTTTTCCTACATTTCAAGCGTAACATCTCGTTTGAACTAGGTTTTTTGCTACGCTTTTCATCTGGTGTCGTCCGGTAAGCTTTCATGTGCAGTGTGGAGTCTGGAACAATACGATTTTTTGTTAGATGTTGAAAATGGAAACAGTGTACATTACTTTTGTTTGAAATTATCCATGCTGAAATATACATAGCTGTAAAGCACAGTGTGCTGCTGGCCGCTTCTTTTTCTCACTGGTCTATACTGTCTACTTGTCCCACTACTAACTGTGTTGTGTCCTTTCGATTTTGCAAGGACTTCTCACCCCCATCCGAAGACTATTCTTCAACGGGCCTACAGCTTCTACCAGTAGACATGACTCCGGCAGTGAATGCTTCTATGGATTATATTACTAATTTGTAGCAGATGTTCTTTAACTATATCACCAAGTAACCATTAATTTATATAACTCGTAGACTGTATTTTTTATAATATACAATTACAATATCATTTCATTAATTCAGATTTTTATTCTAATATTGATTCCGTTACGGAGCTATTAAGTCCTGTACACCTCACCACATGGCCTCCTCCATATCATCTTCCAACTAGTGTTTAGCTTGTCGTTTACCACTTGGGGTTCCCTCAGTGACTTGCCTAGCTTGTGATGCCGTTCAGTGTTCTCCTCAGCAGACTTCTAATATATTCCTGTTTCCATCTGTAAATTTTTTAGGCAACAGGCTGATGGCTGGTTCCTTGTCTGCCACAGCTCTTTGTTGCTTATCCATCTTCGCCGGCTATCAGATCTCCAATATGGAGTGAAGGCAATCGTTGATAAACTTTTGTAGTAGCCCACTGAAATGATTTTCGTACCAGGCGGTAACCAGTGTCATGCATCTGGACCTTTGTATGGTGCAAACTGAATTCTACCAATCAAGTTTGCAATATGATCACCATGCTAGGTTGCTCGTTATCACAGTGCACTTTGAGTTGCGGTTATTTGACGGTTGGAAACAATAGGCAAAAAACTTCGGACCTAGTTTTCTTCACTGTCAGCACTCGTCAGCAAGGCGTATCTACAATCTAGAGGGAATTCATATGCCTTCTGAGATTGACTGATAGAATTCAGTATGTTCAAGTATTGGTTTTGTAGGGATTTTGTTTGGTTGCATGCAGGATTACATCACGATCTGACATCGGCTAGAGAACCACTAGAAAACCTGGGAGCACTGGACAGCTGTTTCGTCCTAGTTTGAGACTCTTTATCAGTACGCATCCACAGGGGTTCGAACCCAGGGCCTTCTGTATGCACCAAAATAAAAGACTAGCAGCATGATACAAGTTATTAAATAGTGTTAAATCAAAATATCCAGTACAATTCAACAGGAAATCAATCACCAGGCTGAATAGCTCAGTGGTAACGTCTTTGACCACAGAGCTCATTGATGAAGGTTTGGACCCTTCAGGGGAGCATGATTTCCTTCAAGACTGACTGGTGAATGCCAGTAAGCATGGAACCTAAGTCAGGTGGCTGGGATTCTCATCGATTACCTCTAACTATCTAATAGCAACAGTTTTAGTGTGTTATTTCATAGTCATGTGTCTATAACTACGTTTTTGAGCCACATAAAGGACCATTGGATCGGGTCCCAGTGACTGAATGGTCTACGAGCTCGCCTTGTAACCAGAAGGTCCTGGGTTCGAATCCGGTGGCGTACTGCTGAAGAGTCCCAAACTAGGACGAAACAGCTGTCCAGTACTCCAGGTTTTCCAATGTTCTCTACTGATGTCAGCTCATGATTAAATCCTCATACAATCAAACAAAATCCTACAAAACCAATACTTGAAAACCAATAATAAATATCCCTCATTCATTGTCGCAAGATTTATTTCCTTCAATTAAAATCAGTTGTTGAGTCTTTAGAGAGAGAAAGAGAGAGTCTGTAGTGCACAGTTTATAGCCATGAATCAGTCTTCTTTTTCTCAATGAGGCGAAAACTTATGCATAAAACAGATTTGTATTTTGTTTTGAATGTGGAAAACTTGACTTATAAGTTAATTCTGGAAATTGCTTGTGCTTATTCAGTTAAGGATTAGGAGTTTTGTTGCATGTGAGTGAGTCAGTTAGTCAATCATAATTTTTTCGGTTTGCAATTACAGTTGCATTTGGTTACAGGATTTTAACATGAGCTGACAATGGTTAGAGAACTAATGGAAAACCTGGGAGTACTGGATTGAGATTGATTGATTGATTTACAGCTTGATTCCACTGTATTTTTGGTACAAGTATGGAATTTTCAGCATGGATATCGTAGCCAAATTTTGTGGCCGACCATAGATACCAGGTGTGAGTCGGCGGATCGACTCGGAGCATGTGTATGGTCGGCGAGAGTCCTAACCACTGTGCCACCGACGCACTATTTCGTCCTAGTTTCGGACTCTTCATAAGTACACACCTACCGGGGTTCGACAAAGCATATGTAATTCACCTGACGATATAAGCCAAAATGTCAGGCTTTTCAAAAATGTATTAGAATAAAGTATATGTCCGAATTCTAGTTCATTCACATAGATTCTAATGTGTCTCAATAGCTTAGCAACGTGTCATAAGTCGTTAGACTTAAAAGATGAAAAAAATTGATGTCCAGGTGACGAAACAAACTACTCTTACAGAAATCCTTTTCACATTTCTTAAACATCAGTCAAAGTAGGATTAGGCGGGCGAACACATTCGTTGGAAGACCATAGGAGACAATAGTTTTCGCTTGATTAACACTAGATTCCATTCACAGAGTAGAATAAAACTTACTGACTGAATGTTAACATGGAACGCAACACAGAAGTGCACCCTTTCGAGTTGTCAAATTCCATGTAGTATGCAAAGATAGACAGGAGAGAGTAAACAGAGACGAAACAGCTGTCCAGTACTCCCAGGTTTCCCAGTGGTTCTCTGACTGATGCCAGCTCATGATTAAATCCTCCACGCAATCAAACAAAATCCCTAAAAAACCAATACTTGAAAATTTATCTGATGCTCACTAGTGACCGGCCCTATTCAGGCAGTTAACCTGGGGTTCTAGTGGGAAGCCGTGACCAGTAGGGTACAGCAGGTTGAAGATGAGGCAGTAACTCATCGAAGAAGACATTGCGAAGTGGTCGCGCTATGTCGTGAATTGGCAGAAGTTAGAATTCAAGGACCATTGGATCGGGTCCCAGTGGCTTAATGGTCTACGAGCTCGCCTTGTAACCAGAAGGTCCTGGGTCCGAATCCCGGTGGGTGCGCACTGCTGAAGAGTCCCAAACTAGGACGAAACAGCTGTCTAGTACTCACAGGTTTCCCAGTGGTTCTCTAACTGATGTCAGCTCATGATTAAATCCTCCATGTAATTAATTCCTTTTAAGGCCATTTAAAGTATATTTATACACAATTGCTGTCAGTCCTTTTCGCTATTGACCCGAGGCAGTAAAAGCTCTCTGTGTCCACTGTCTGTCTTTTTGTTTTCTCGTCTTCTTGTGTCGCGGGTTCGGTGGTATCGTCACGTATCGTTGTTGTTGTTGTTGTTGCCAGTAGTGATTAGAACAGTAGTCTGATGAATCGAGTAGGTAGGAAGTTCGTTAGCGCAAACTACCAAGTGCATTAATGGTCATAACAGAAAGAAGGAACAGTAACATGGAAGAGCAACGGGTCTGTTGGATATGGGAGATTGCATAGCCCGTATCACCAATAGTCTCTAGCCTTTGTTTTTTAGAGTATTCTGAGGATTCCAACCAGGCAGTTTACATCCACTCAACGCCGACGTGGCTCATTCAAGCCAGCCTGTCAAAGACATCATGGAGTGATTTCGGATTTTGGATTGACCACCCATCCATTAGCCTTTTGTTCAACCTAATCTCACGTCATCGAACAGTATTCATCGAAGAAGGCGGGGTACAATAAAACAATCTAAGTCACAGAATATATATATATTTATAGATGTATTTCAGCAGTCAATAACAAATTCAAATGCATTGATTAAATTATAGGTGTGTATATATAGGATGAATAAATGAAATGGACTGATAAACAGATAGATAAACGGACAGACAATAGGGACAGGTAATAAGTAAATAGATAGACAGGCTGACAGCCATTTCTTTTCTGTTTTGAAAAATAATAATATTAATAATAATAGATGCATATAATAACCGAATACCGTAGTAGTTCTTTATTTAAATTATACAGAAACGATAATATAAGCGGCGGCAGTATAAATCTATCTAGGAGATAGTTCAGGAAAAGAAAGGACCCATTTATCTTTGATGCTGTTCATTCGTTCATTTGCTTGTTTGTTTGTTAGCCATTATTTTCAAAAGCAATAAATTATGAATACTGATAATTGTAATTTTAATTAATTAATTAATTATTATTTATTTGTTTAAAATTTAAATTATACATGAATCTGTATATTATTATTGAAAGAAAGAAAGTTGAAAGTGTAAAATACATCTAATAGGCCATCTTAGTTTCTCTTTGTTATATAATGATTATTTTATTATTCGCTATTTTCCATTAACTTCAGGTTATATGATGCATGTTTTAAGATCACCTAAGCTCAGCTGAGTTCAGCTCAGCTCACGGATAGCACAACACAGCATCATGGAAAATACCATTCCGGATATCTAGAATTTCAGTTTGGAAAAAAAACAAAAAATTAATAATTAAAAATCCGTTCATGAATGCAAGAAATAAGAAAAGCAATAAATGGAATAATTTTAGATCAATAATTATCGGTAAATGGTAGGTGCATAAGAAATGTTATAATCCGGGATGTGCTATATGTGCTGCATGTGAAGTAATCCACAACGGGTAGTTCACGGAATCCTTCGAAGAAGTGAAGACGGGAGTAAGACAAGGCTGGCTGCCCACTATCTCCAATGATTTTCCTGAGTGCGGTAGACTGGATAATGCGACAGAGAGCAGGCCGGGCAACGAGGAGACAGGTATAAAATGAACTCACACAAAAAACTGGGGGATCTGGACTTCGATGATGATATATGTCTGATTTCCCACAAAGTGAAAGATATGCAAGTGAAAAGCAACACGTTGGCGATAGAAGAAGCATCCAGAGAAGATAGAACTTCAGATGAATATAGAGAAGAGAGAGGTAGGTGATGAAGATTCCTAGCCAACAGCAACAGCATCAAACAACAATCAGCATAGATGGGAGAAATCTGCAAGAAGTAACCTCCTTTACCTACCTACCTCGGAAGCATCGTTTCAACTACAGACGGAGGGAACGGACGAGGATATCAAAGAAGCGAGGGTCGGGGAAGCAAGGCAAGCTCTCATTACTCTCAAGTCTGTGTGGAGAACAACAGCGTCCCTTAGCAAGAAAATGAAAGAAGATCCGGATTTTCAACTCCAATGTGAAGTCAGTGCTACCATACAGATCAGAAACTTGGCGCCGCGTCACGAAGGGCACTTCGAACAAACTACACACCTTCATCGACAGCTGTCTTCGCTCAATATTTCGCTCAAGATCAGATGGCCAGAAAAGATCAACAACAGGGGCGATCTCTGAGATAGGAATCGATTGTACAACAAATATGCAGGAAGAAATGCAATTGGATTGGTCATACTCTGAGAAAACAAACCGTCAAGTGACATCACACGCTAGGCCATCGCTCTAATCGTACCCGAATGGGAAGCGGTGAGTTGATCATCAGTGCGAGGGTGACATGGAGGAGGTCATTTGAACAGGAAATGAAAGCATTTGGTCAGATGTGGAGATAGGTGACAACGGCGGAGAACCGAACGCTATGGAGAAGTGCGGCTGAAGTGCTATGTTCCTCTAGGAATTAAAAGAGATAATAATGTGCTACTAACAAGACTTATGAGTAGTATATTACGAGACGTTCGTCAGCACAAAATACCAGATGGTGGATTTGACGTCAAAGAGAGCAAATGATGAACCAAGATTGCGGCAAAACATGGGAGACAAGAAAAGAAGAGAAAGAAAGGCAATTCGAAGGTCAAACGTAGCACAACACGGGAGATTTGGGCATGCAAATGACGATTGCCATATAAGGTGTGCATAGTTTTTTTTATTTATGTATATCAAATTCCTGAAAGTCTATTGTCTTCTACTGTTACAATAATACCCTATTCAAAAAACACCTAGGATCCAGAGATGCCCTAGAATTTGAACATACACGTATATTCTAATACCTTGTGTTTTCAGTCATAACTGTTGAATATGTTCATCGACAAAACAAATGTTGTTATCATTTGTTATTTCCTTGACCACACATAAAATCCATATTAGGTTAGTAAGTTTGATCTCACACACATGGTGATACAGTCTTAATGACTAGATCACGATTCCACGATACCTGATTGCTCATAATTATCACATCAATGTATTCGCACGGCTTTACAGTTTGTTTTACAATATTTCTCTCCCTCTTAAGATTTAAATAGGATAGAGAAGATGTGTAGCTCAAGTGGATGTTTTGATGTAGCTGAGTTTTCTGAGTTGGATGGTTTATTAACGAAGCTTTCATTGCCCCCCCCCTACTAGGCAACATCTCAGCACATAACTCAATTTGTTGAAGTGAACTTTTAGATTTCTCCATGAGTTTATTAGTCATATCTCCTGGTGACCACCTCAGACGTGATTGGTTGTTTTTGTGTGTTTTCATGCCCTCTAGGCTACCTGTATTGATATTGGTGTTGTTTGTTTCCCTGAATTGAACTTTTACCCTTTTGTGTGAGATTTTCTTCTTATCGATTGGTACATTTTGTCTATATCAATGTGTCTACAGATTGACGATTCACTGGAATACTAGGCTTGTAAAAATTCTCTAGTATGAACGTTGGTTGTCCCAGTCGAATTTATGTCCGAACGACCAAGCAGTGCTCGACTTAGTTGTGATGAAATGAATAAAGTAGTGAGTGGGCTAAGACAACCAGCAGCCTACCCTTCAAAGAAAAATCTCAGTAAACAGTCAGATGCGCGCAACTCTGTAAACAGTTATTGATTTTATCAATATTTAGCCATCATGAATCACTGACTTTTAGAAACTGATAGTATTTTTTAAAATGCAATAAGCGATCGAAATATAAATTTAAAGAGGATTTTGTGTACTTAAACGGCTATCTAAGATGGATACTATATATTGTAAAGCTTTTGCAACAATGAATAATATGATTAACAGCTCATTATATTACGAAAGGTATTGTTTCTGAAATAAAATACATTCATGAGCATAAATAAATTTGGAGAGAAATAAAATGAGGTTTCTTTGATTTCTATATACTTCTTTAGAGTTTCAAATGACATGAGGCTTACTCTTAAAATCGATTTTATGTGAAGTCGTATGGATTTTGACACGTACTACGCATGCCGCGGTACCGTGTTCCTGAACGAGAAATGTTAGCTAACATTCAGCTAGGATTAATATGAGTTGGGAGTGCTCTGGCGAAGACACAACACAGATTACGAAGACTTTGAATGTTGGTTTCAGTCACATAGGGTGATGCAGACTACCCAGTTGGGATTCTTGGGATGGTAAACATCTATGGTTACATATATTTGGTCATAAAGCATAAAACCCGTTCACAATATTGTAGGTGTGTCCATTTTTGTGATTTTTCTGACGTTATGTACTATACTTTCATTGTACTTCTTTTCGTCACCTTCATATTCTACTTTTCTGAAGTGTGGTAACTTGAACTGATGTAGTTTTATGCAAAGTTCTGTTCAAAAACAAAACTTCACCTTGTAGTATTCTCTGTCGTAGTGTGGTTTGTATGCTTATCATTATCACTGTCTCCTAATGTAGCAGATGACGTGACTGTCACGTTGCTCAGATGTGGTACGATGATGACCATTGATTATTTGTGGAGGGATTTTCTTCCTCCATAAATTCATATTTTGTGTTGCATATTTTTTAAGAATCATTATCTTATCTGTAGAATTAATGTTCAATATTTAAATTTGAAGTTGTAAGTGGAAGAGAAAAAATCAATAATTTAAAACTAGAATGATTTATAATCATCATTTGGTTTGAATTCACTCAGCCTTGTAGGCTGAAGGTCTTCGCTTCGATCCCCAGTAGAATCATGGATGTCTACTGTTGAGCAGCCTCAAACAAAGATTCCCTGACTCTATAATGTTTCTCCAAACTAAATTCAGTTCGATTAAAGGATTTCATCATGAAATCACATGGGTTAGAGAACCATTGGAAAACCAGCGGGGAGTAGTGGACAGTTGTTTCGTCCTAGTTTGGAACTCTTCACAAGTACGCGCCTACCAACAGGGTTCGAATCCAGGACCTTCTGGTTACAAGGCAAGCTCGTAGACCATTAAACCATTGGAACCCGATCCAACGGTCAGCCCATGACTTCAAACTTCTGCCAGGTGACGAGATAACGCGACCACTAGACAGTGTCATCCGTGGCGAGTAATCGTCCTCACGCCCGACCTGCTGTACCCTACTAGTCACGACTTCCGACTAGAACCTTATCAAACTTGAAAGAAATCAGTTCAATTTGAAAATGTCCAAGTGGATATGAGTACCTGTAAACATATAGTGGAACAAAGTTGAAATTCATCTTTCTTTTTACAATTGTCACTTTCGGCATAATATGTTACTTTTGAACTGATCAGTACCTACTTGTAAAACACTGTTATTTTGCATTTCAACACTGACGTGTAGAAACTTGTGGTCATATACTTAATACATGCTGTGGATGACCTTAACCTAAATATTCATGAATTGAAAAGATTTTTACAAGATGATACCACTGGGAATTGACACTTAATATCACATAGAAGGAGTGCAGAATACTGTAATACTATAATCCGAAGAGAGATGAATCATAGACTTTTGTATCCCGGTATATTGTTATTCTGTGCATCAACCATCGCCAAAGTGTGTCTAGTTTTTTTTAAATGACTTCATTGGTATTTGTGCGAAGTTTTTAAATGCACAAAATACTTTTGGAATATTTGTTACTTTGCAAACATGAACTAACCTAACAGTGTTGTAATTTATTTGTATGACCTCAGAACAAACACTTAACATTAATAACGTGAAACGATTTTCATGGTTGCTTACTTTCCCACCACATAATGATGGTTAGTTAGTATACACAATGATCTCTTTACTATCTATTTATTGATGTAACGACGTTTTATTGATTTTATTTTAATATTTTAAATAGAAGTGAAGAGTGAAGTTGTTGACCCTTACACATTTTAACAAATTGATGAAATATTATCGTTTGCCACCTCCTTTAATCTCAGTTCTTATTGATGGTAATAAGAGTAATATACTATTTACTATTAACTTCATTCAAAACATTGAATTTGTTTAAATGAATTTTCAGGCGACGCGGTAATATGAAAGATGCCGCCAAAGCGAAAAGTTCAAATGTTTCATCCTTTTTTCTTACACACTTTTTAAAATAAATTACTAATATGAATACAGATAAAATCAATAAAAACATGCACTAAAACAAGCACAGATAATAAAGAAAAGATTTTGTTATTCAATTTTATATATTTAGGGTGATGAAAAGGAAGAGAGACAGAGAGAGAGGGATGGAGGGTAGAAGTTATAAAAAGACGCAAATGTACAACTTACAAGAATTAATGCAAAACTTATACCAATTCCACATATTATAGAGAGATTGGATCTGCACGCTTCAACGAGTACATCATGACACCCCTTTGTATAAAATATGAAGAATAATAAGTACAAATAAGTAGTATATAAAAGAAACAATGGACATTTAATACACCATGCATAAATTAATCAATTTAAGATGGTTTATTGTCTGATGGTATGAATCAGTTTTCTCGTTTGACAAGAATTTGTTCCCCTGATGACTGACTGTAATAACCTCCAATAGCTTACACATACTATAAAATGAACATTGCACGAAGGATTTCATCATGAGCTGACATCAGTTAGAGAAACATTGGAAAACCAACTAGGGCGTACTGGACAGCCAGCTGATTTGTCCTAATTCGGGACTCTTCAGCAGTACGCACCCACCAACAGAGTTCGAACCCAGAACCTTCTGGTTACAAGGCTAACGAGCTCTTAGACCATTGAGCCACTGGGACCAGATCCAATGGTTCTTGAATTTTTACTTCTGCCGAATCACGACATAATGCAACCATTTCTCAATGTCTTCTTCGATGAGTTTCTGCCTCATCTTAGACCTAATGTAGCCTACTGTTCACGCCTTCCCACTAGAACCCCAGTTCACTGCACTATGTCATGAATTGGCTGAAGTTAGAATTCATGGACGGGCTGGCCAGTGGATCGGGTTTCAGTGGTTTAATGGTCTATGAACTCGCCTTGTAACCAGAGGGTCCTGGGTTCGAACCCCGGGGAGTGTACCACTGAAGAATCCCAAACTAGACTGATGAAACAGCAGTCCAGTACTCCCAGTTGGTTTTCCAGTGGTTCTCTAACTGATGTCAGCTCATGATGAAATCCTCCACGCCGTCAAACAAAATCCCTACAAAACCAATGCTAAGCTAAAAAATTGGAACTGCCTATCACTGATCCTGTCTTACCCTACAGAACAATAAAACGTTTTCTAGGGGCCCATAACTAACTTATTTATCGATTATACATATAAAAATCAATAAATCCATTTGAATTAATCTCCAATTGTTGTCGTTTAATGTTACTGAATACTTTTGTAGAATACTGAAAAGTATCTATAAGTATAAAAGTACATATGAAAATATTTAAAGAACATTTATATGCTAATTTACTTTTTGTCAGCAATAACTATGCTATGCAAAGGTGGTAGTAAGTAGTTTAAGCTAAATTATAAAACGTTTACATACATAATATGTAGATTCGTAAATCACTGAAGTAAGCGAACATTTTCAAGTGTTGGTTTAAAAGGATTTGATTGGTTACAGGACCTCATCATGAGCTGACATCGATCAGAGAACTATTTTAGTACTAAATATCTGTTTCGTTCGCCTATGAAATTGGCTAGCGGTCGCGCTATATCGTGAATTGGCAGAAGTTGGAATTCATGAACCACCCATTAGATCAGGTCCCAGTGACTTAACCGTCCGCGTGAGCTCGTCTTGTAACTGGATGGTCCTTGGATCGAACCTTGGTGGGTGTGTGCTGATGAAGAGTTCCAAACTGGGACGAAACAACCATCTAGTACTGCTAGGTTTACCAACGATTCTCTAACCAATGTTAGCTCATAAGGTTATCTACCTTATTCTGACTAATCTCAATTTAGCCTTATGAGTGTTCGTTTCCTAAGTATGGCTGAAGTTGTGAGAATCCGCATTAAGAAGCCTAAATTATGTGTTCAGCAAAAAATTCATTCAAACGCTTTCTCGACCTTCGTCATCATTGTTTTAACTGCCTTTAATTATCGGATAGATTTTCTTCTTAATTTGATCTGATATTTTATTTAGCAATGAATGCATTTGCAGTTGGTTGTGTTCTCTAAGCTGGTTGGTTTAACTGTGGAGCTTTCGTCGTTCTTCTGGACAACATCTTCAGCGCAAGTTTTAACATAAAATGAACTGATTTATGCTAAAACTTGCGCTGAAGATGTTGTCCAGAAGGACGACAAAAGCTCCGCAGTTAAACCAACCAGCTCAGAGAACACAATTAAGTAAAAAAAATACTTTTATTACTTGTATTTAAAATATAAATTCATAGTAAAACCAGCAAACAGAGTTAAAGACAGGCAAGTAATTATGCCAATGGATAGATCAATAGTGTCCAAAGGTTTCCTCTGATCTTATGTATTGACAGATTAATTGTCACACTAAATCCGGTTGCCTGACATAATGATAATCCACTGCGATACAGCTTGAGTATTTATAAACATGTAAAGACAGTTCACGAACTTTTCAGCTGCTTTCCACCATGTAGTATATAAGTCCCTATAATTTCTAGTTAACATACTTCACTCTCAGTCTTTTCTTGGTATTTTAGACAAGCTTATAGAACATGTTCGGTGGTGGTCGATAGAAGATTTCACGACTTGCCTTTTCTTCTATTTGAGACTCAAACCCACAACTCAACGCTTGAAACAACAAGGTGTTAACCAATAGGCTTCTGAGTCATGATAGCTAACCTCTAGTGAAACAGGTATGGTTTGAAGATATTTATCCCCACTTTTTAATTCTTGCTGAAGTAGTTTATGACGGAGTCAATCGGTTTTATTTCTGCTATATAGGGACTTTAAATGCATGATTCGATAGTGCCTAAATTAACATGCTGAAGTCACCTGTTTTCTGAAGTAGGTACGACTCGTTAAAGAGTCCCAAATAGGATGAAACACGTACCCTGGATACAGCTACTGCTAGCCTCCAAGCGAATTAGCAGCTTCAAGTTATTAATCTTGGCAGTACTGATGCATCCTTTCAAGCAGCCATTATACCAAAGATGAGGATCATCAATTCTGTCCAGATATTTCAACAGGACATGAAAAAATATGAATAATCAGCAAAACTGAGATTGCTATTCTCTAGCCGTCCAATACTTCTAAACAATGCAAAAGACAAACTCTCCCATTTGAACAAATCCCTGTGCATATACCAGCTCACCTGCTCGTGCGGAGCTAGGTAAATAGGTCGTTGTATGCGCATCCTTTCAAAACGTGTTAGAGAACACTGCTTCAGCGTGGCTGCAAAGAGGAGACACCGCTTCAATAAGAAGTGCCATTATTAAACATCTGATCAACACCTCCCACAGCATCTCAACTGATTCATTCAAAGTCAGTTACAAAGTCAACAGAAACCTAAGAAAAACAGCATGTTTCCGACTTTTCTGTACTGCAGAAGTCCCTGCAATATGCATAGAAAAGCCAGGGCTGTGTTCAAAGGAAATTAGTCCAACCTCTACAACTATCACAGGCTTAGTTCGGTATGTTCCCTTAGCCTCCCGTTTTTTGGATTTTTTTCGTTTGCAGTCTGTGTGATTTTTCTCTGTTTGTCTTCATTCAATTCATCCCTTTTTTTCAGCCATAAGAATAGTTAGTATACAATTGGTGGATGGTGGCTAGCAGTGGAATCCAGGATGCGCATTTCGTCCTATTTGGGACTCGTCAGCTGGATGTACCTGCATTTCTCAGTGAGTGATGATGTTCCCACTGAGGCTCGAACCCAGTACCCATAGTTTCAAACGCCAAAGCGTTATCCACTAGACCACTTGGGCCACGAGAGCCACCTCTTGTGCGACGGGTCATATTAATTATTGAATTGAATTTTTGATTTTCCCGTCGATTGATTGGACCGAAGTGCTCGGTCTCAGGTTGACATGTCGGCTTCTTGTGCAGATGCTTCGACGATGTCTGGGCATTTAGTTAGTATACAATTGGTGGATGGTGGCTAGCAGTGGAATCCAGGATGCGCATTTCGTCCTATTTGGGACTCGTCAGCTGGATGTACCTGCATTTCTCAGTGAGTGATGATGTTCCCACTGAGGCTCGAACCCAGTACCCATAGTTTCAAACGCCAAAGCGTTATCCACTAGACCACTTGGGCCACGAGAGCCACCTCTTGTGCGACGGGTCATATTAATTATTGAATTGAATTTTTGATTTTCCCGTCGATTGATTGGACCGAAGTGCTCGGTCTCAGGTTGACATGTCGGCTTCTTGTGCAGATGCTTCGACGATGTCTGGGCATTTAGTTAGTATACAATTGGTGGATGGTGGCTAGCAGTGGAATCCAGGATGCGCATTTCGTCCTATTTGGGACTCGTCAGCTGGATGTACCTGCATTTCTCAGTGAGTGATGATGTTCCCACTGAGGCTCGAACCCAGTACCCATAGTTTCAAACGCCAAAGCGTTATCCACTAGACCACTTGGGCCACGAGAGCCACCTCTTGTGCGACGGGTCATATTAATTATTGAATTGAATTTTTGATTTTCCCGTCGATTGATTGGACCGAAGTGCTCGGTCTCAGGTTGACATGTCGGCTTCTTGTGCAGATGCTTCGACGATGTCTGGGCATTTAGTTAGTATACAATTGGTGGATGGTGGCTAGCAGTGGAATCCAGGATGCGCATTTCGTCCTATTTGGGACTCGTCAGCTGGATGTACCTGCATTTCTCAGTGAGTGATGATGTTCCCACTGAGGCTCGAACCCAGTACCCATAGTTTCAAACGCCAAAGCGTTATCCACTAGACCACTTGGGCCACGAGAGCCACCTCTTGTGCGACGGGTCATATTAATTATTGAATTGAATTTTTGATTTTCCCGTCGATTGATTGGACCGAAGTGCTCGGTCTCAGGTTGACATGTCGGCTTCTTGTGCAGATGCTCCGACGATGTCTGGGCATTTAGTTAGTATACAATTGGTGGATGGTGGCTAGCAGTGGAATCCAGGATGCGCATTTCGTCCTATTTGGGACTCGTCAGCTGGATGTACCTGCATTTCTCAGTGAGTGATGATGTTCCCACTGAGGCTCGAACCCAGTACCCATAGTTTCAAACGCCAAAGCGTTATCCACTAGACCACTTGGGCCACGAGAGCCACCTCTTGTGCGACGGGTCATATTAATTATTGAATTGAATTTTTGATTTTCCCGTCGATTGATTGGACCGAAGTGCTCGGTCTCAGGTTGACATGTCGGCTTCTTGTGCAGATGCTTCGACGATGTCTGGGCATTTAGTTAGTATACAATTGGTGGATGGTGGCTAGCAGTGGAATCCAGGATGCGCATTTCGTCCTATTTGGGACTCGTCAGCTGGATGTACCTGCATTTCTCAGTGAGTGATGATGTTCCCACTGAGGCTCGAACCCAGTACCCATAGCTTCAAACGCCAAAGCGTTATCCACTAGACCACTTGGGCCACGAGAGCCACCTCTTGTGCGACGGGTCATATTAATTATTGAATTGAATTTTTGATTTTCCCGTCGAATGATTGGACCGAAGTGCTCGGTCTCAGGTTGACATGTCGGCTTCTTGTGCAGATGCTTCGACGATGTCTGGGCATTTAGTTAGTATACAATTGGTGGATGGTGGCTAGCAGTGGAATCCAGGATGCGCATTTCGTCCTATTTTAACTCGTCAGCTGGATGTACCTGCATTTCTCAGTGAGTGATGATGTTCAATTCAATAATTAATATGACCCGTCGCACAAGAGGTGGCTCTCGTGGCCCAAGTGGTCTAGTGGATAACGCTTTGGCGTTTGAAACTATGGGTACTGGGTTCGAGCCTCAGTGGGAACATCATCACTCACTGAGAAATGCAGGTACATCCAGCTGACGAGTCCCAAATAGGACGAAATGCGCATCCTGGATTCCACTGCTAGCCACCATCCACCAATTGTATACTAACTAAATGCCCAGACATCGTCGAAGCATCTGCACAAGAAGCCGACATGTCAACCTGAGACCGAGCACTTCGGTCCAATCAATCGACGGGAAAATCAAAAATTCAATTCAATAATTAATATGACCCGTCGCACAAGAGGTGGCTCTCGTGGCCCAAGTGGTCTAGTGGATAACGCTTTGGCGTTTGAAGCTATGGGTACTGGGTTCGAGCCTCAGTGGGAACATCATCACTCACTGAGAAATGCAGGTACATCCAGCTGACGAGTCCCAAATAGGACGAAATGCGCATCCTGGATTCCACTGCTAGCCACCATCCACCAATTGTATACTAACTAAATGCCCAGACATCGTCGAAGCATCTGCACAAGAAGCCGACATGTCAACCTGAGACCGAGCACTTCGGTCCAATCAATCGACGGGAAAATCAAAAATTCAATTCAATAATTAATATGACCCGTCGCACAAGAGGTGGCTCTCGTGGCCCAAGTGGTCTAGTGGATAACGCTTTGGCGTTTGAAACTATGGGTACTGGGTTCGAGCCTCAGTGGGAACATCATCACTCACTGAGAAATGCAGGTACATCCAGCTGACGAGTCCCAAATAGGACGAAATGCGCATCCTGGATTCCACTGCTAGCCACCATCCACCAATTGTATACTAACTAAATGCCCAGACATCGTCGAAGCATCTGCACAAGAAGCCGACATGTCAACCTGAGACCGAGCACTTCGGTCCAATCAATCGACGGGAAAATCAAAAATTCAATTCAATAATTAATATGACCCGTCGCACAAGAGGTGGCTCTCGTGGCCCAAGTGGTCTAGTGGATAACGCTTTGGCGTTTGAAACTATGGGTACTGGGTTCGAGCCTCAGTGGGAACATCATCACTCACTGAGAAATGCAGGTACATCCAGCTGACGAGTCCCAAATAGGACGAAATGCGCATCCTGGATTCCACTGCTAGCCACCATCCACCAATTGTATACTAACTAAATGCCCAGACATCGTCGAAGCATCTGCACAAGAAGCCGACATGTCAACCTGAGACCGAGCACTTCGGTCCAATCAATCGACGGGAAAATCAAAAATTCAATTCAATAATTAATATGACCCGTCGCACAAGAGGTGGCTCTCGTGGCCCAAGTGGTCTAGTGGATAACGCTTTGGCGTTTGAAACTATGGGTACTGGGTTCGAGCCTCAGTGGGAACATCATCACTCACTGAGAAATGCAGGTACATCCAGCTGACGAGTCCCAAATAGGACGAAATGCGCATCCTGGATTCCACTGCTAGCCACCATCCACCAATTGTATACTAACTAAATGCCCAGACATCGTCGAAGCATCTGCACAAGAAGCCGACATGTCAACCTGAGACCGAGCACTTCGGTCCAATCAATCGACGGGAAAATCAAAATTCAATTCAATAAGAATAGTTATTTTAAGTTTGTTTCCATGCTCTTCCTGCTCACAAATATAATTCGTTTAAAATAACTATTCTGCAATCATACCCTAATCCTGTGTAGTTTTTGGTTCTAAGACACTTGTACTCTATATTCACACCTCCTAACTTCCATTTCAAGTTGAAAATTATTATTGAATTGAGTTTTTGATTTTCCCATCGATTGATTGAACCGAAGTGCTCAGTCTCAGGTTGACATGTCGGCTTCTTGTGCAGATGCTTCGACGATGGTCTGAGCATCAAAAATTCAATTCAATAATTAATATGACCCGTTGCACAAGAGGTGGCTGTCGAGGCACAAGTCATCTAGTGGATAACGCTTTGGCGTTCGAAACTATTGGCACTGGGTTCGAGCCTCGGTGAGAACATCATCATCACTCACTGAAAAATGCTGGTACATCCAGCCGACGAGTCCCAAATAGGACGAAATCCGCGTTATCCTGGATTCCACTGCTAGCCAGCATCCACCAATTGTATATTGAAAATTATTATTTAAATTTGTTTCCATGCTCATTTTGTACACACCTGTAATTCGTCCTAATCCTGAGTAATTTTGCTTCTAAGCCTCTCGTAAACCATATCTAGCTGAAAATGATTGTCGCCCTTTCTTCGTCTTCGTAATTATGTGAAATCAAGCAAAAATTGTATCTATGTAAATTTATGTATTTAAATGCGACTGTACAGCTTTTGAAAATGAAATCACCGAGAAGACATCTTTGCTGAACTTTGTGTTCTTTTCTTTCTAACGTCCTAATGAGTATTTTCCACGATTTGAATAATCTTAAGGACCAAAACTGTTATTTAATCCAATACTTTAGTCATACAACTACGTGTTACTGGGTTATAGGAGTTGAAAGCAATCCATCATATTTTGATCTAAGTAGTCTGGCAGTACCAAAGAAAGGACTAGACATATTACACTAATCAATAACTAGTGTCCAATCAAAATAACTTTGTAGTAGTAGTAGTAATAATAATAACAATAATAATGTCATTCATTACCCAATAGTTACTTACTCTTGAATTAATTCGAGTAGATTTTGTCGCTGTACAACTTTTCGGTGGCGTTCTTGTACCATAGTCAGCTGCAGAAGTAACACCACAACAACCGAACTGTGTGTAACAACAAAACAAACAAAAACAATTTCAATGATAAATAAAATATAGGAAACTTGTACAATAGTAATATTAACTAATGACGTTTCGAGTACAAATTATTATTCCTCATGATAATATCAAGTCACTCACACAACTATTTTGCATCATATACATACATGAGTAAAATTGATTAGACATTTGAATAAAAATCAATCAATATAAGATAAAGTACATTCTGAAATAATAATTTGAGTGTTATCAATCAAATACAATCAGATAGGAAATAAGATGCTTCTATAGTAAAATAACTAACTTGTTAGAATGTTATAATGTGAATTGAATACAGTCTAACATTATTTATTATCCTCTGATTCGACTGGTAGATAATATCTTCCATATCTCTGGTATTTGCATTGAGTCATTTCTGTTGCATGTATTGGGTGTAGACTCGATGAACAAGGATTCTGTAATCAATCTCTCTCTCCACCTACCTATATTACTTTTTAGAATTTTAACCCTTTCCCACCACCCTATTGTGTGGTTGTGTGTTAATGCATGCATTGCAATTGCTGAGCTTTTTTCTAAATTACTTATCTTTTCAGGGTCAACCATTCTAACCTTAGCTAAATTCTTATGTTCCGACAATCTGACTACCCCTGACCTACTAGTTTAACTTATGTAGTTGACCTCACTCACAGTCATTGCAGGGTATTTTGTAAATTATATTATTTTGTCTAATTGGGTCAACTGAGTCCTTTAACCTACAGAGCTTGTCCTGTCTGAGTGAGTTTGTAGGTTTAAATGCCACCCTAATTCCTATTTTATTCAGAATCCTACGTAGTGTCTCAGATGTCCCCTCTTTATATGGTATAACTGTAGATGACCTATATTCTCCCTTATTTATGTTATTATTACTAGTTTCACAATTATTTCTATTTTGTTTTTGGCCTCTACTGATCTTCCTAATGAATTTTAAAGGATAGTTATTTAACACCAAAACCTCTTCTATCTGTTTTAGTTCATTATTTAGGTCTTTTCTTGTGCTACTTAGTGCTACTGCTCGGTTTGTTAGACACTTAACTAAGCCTGCCTTAACAGTTGATGGATGAGATGAATTAAAGTTTAAGTATCTATTAGAATGCGTTGGCTTTTTATAAACGCCGCTAGTGTGCAGTTTACCATCTTCTGTTCGTTTTATTTTACAATCTAACTTCATAGGTAATTCTCCTTGTTCATTTTCCGCTTCAAATGTGAATTTTATTCCCTCTACTAGTGAGTTTATATGTATGTCAAGAAGCTAGAGATGTGTTATGTTTTTAACACTGTGAAAGTGTCATCCACATATCGCCACCATATTTTTGAAGTAGGATTTAACAAAATAAAATCTTATCTATAATGGAGTTATACTCTACCACAGTGCCCAAGTTTTATGCTTATGCTTATTAAAACAATTGATATGTCATTAAATAAGCGTAAATTTGAAATTTTTATTTAAGTGTTCATAAACAAGTATGTTGAAAGGTTCAGATACTTTTTCATACTGAAGTATACAAATATATTTGAAGACTGGAAGCAGAGATGTTTCTATAGGGAGAACAAATGTCAATGCTGGTGAACATGGTAACGTTTGTTTATTCGAACTGGTCTCCATATTGGTGGGAGACAAAAAGGCTGTCATTGCTAAATCGTGTACTGGTTGGCAGAAGATTGGAGAAATACGATCAGAAGTATCGTTGTAGATGATATTAACATTTATTCACAGACTTTGGCACTGATTAACCATCATAATTATATTTCGCTATCGCTTGAATAATAAGCACAATCATGCTGCCCAACCGTTTTCTGCTGTCCTGCATCAGTTACAGTGTATAGTGTGTTTTGCATGTTAAGCTTAGTTTTCTGAAACCAGCGATAAGTCCAGGATCTCTACGATCTGAATATTCGACAATAGACCATTGATGTTGATTGGTACTGGTTGTTGTCGCTGTTGGTTGGCTATCTTCATCACCTCTGTCTTGCCTATTTTCTGCTAGAATCCTATCTTCGCTGCCTACTTCTTCTGCCAACTTGTTGGTCTTTGCCTGTAACTCTTCGAGTTCGTGTGTGAGGCCAGACATATATTGTCCGCGAAATTTAGTTCTTCTAGAGTCTTATAGGTCAAACATATTCCTTTCTTCTCGCCTTCCCACAGTCTTCTGTATAATACAGTCCATCACAATTAAGAATATCATCAGTTATAATAGGCAACCTCCTATCCCAACTTTGAACGCCTTGATAAGGTTTCCGTAGTGGATCCTCTAACACATGCCGTCGTTTTATAGCTGTAGAAGGGGGATGACAAAGATTTGGGGTGCTTCACACCACAGTATTGTCAACACTGTCAAAGGTCTTTTCAAAGTAAATTAACTGATGTAGAGTTTTGACTGCCATACACTGTCTGCAGAGACAATGAGGATAAAATGTTGAACAGTACTTCTCCCTATCTCAGCTTGACTGAAGTCTTCACGTTGCTAAAAATCAGCCGTTGGTTAGAGACTGTTGGTGACATGCCTAATAATCTTCTGCAATGCTGCAGAAACAATAACTCTTTTTCATCGTCCAAGTTCTGAAAATCTTTGCTAATCTTCAGCTAATTATTCCCTAATCTGCACGTCTTTGTTCACTGTAGTTTCAGTATTCTTCTTTTTGTCAACTTTTCTGAATTGTTGCAACCTGAACAGATGCATTTTTCTGGGTATCTATGATCAATAAGATGAAATTTGTGCCATTTAGTACTTAGAAATTAGAATAGCCTGTGAAGATTTCATTTCCTGAAGAAAAAGCTTTTAAGAGTTAGGGAAACACCAAAATTCAACTTTGTCATTTCTTTGAGACCACACAAATATAAGCAAAAATTCTTGATAAAATTGTACATTTAGCGTGGTCTGTTGCTAGGCTATTCATCACATACATGTCGACAATATTTCAACGAGAAGTTAGACACATTTGTCCACGTGTATTTGACTTATGTGTACACTACAAGACAACTAACAGAGAGTTTTAACACTTGACAGTTCCAGGTCACACAACTTCAGCAAACTGAAGAAAGTGAGTTACGCAAAGTGTAGTTAAAAGGCGATCCACTCTGGAGGATTAATAATCGGAGAATTAATTCATATTTCAATTGAAGAAAGATTCCCACAAGGATCAGTCATTATATGTTAAGTAATTTCACATTGCAGTCGTCAGTGTAATCTGCAGTTCATTTATCATAAAATAGTGAAATGATTACTAGTCCCAGTAAATGCATCGATAAGATACTACATTACTTACCAAATGATTGAAGAATGAAGATATTAGCTTTTCAGTTATACTTTAGACATCCTAAGAAACATTCTCAGATTATATTATCATTAATCTCGTGGGTTCCAATTGGAATGCAGAGCTTCAATGGCACATCTGCATTTGCATCTTTTCCCTGCAATTATTTCCAGTTGGTTCCACGAATGCGCATAAGTTTTCATCTCCTCCTCACAAGATCTCCTCCATATCAGCCGCACACCTATTTCCATCTGTTCCCCTCTTCCCATTCGGGTTTCATTTGGGGGCCTTTCGCGTAATGTCACTCAGTCGTCTCCTCAGAAGGTGCTTAATTCACCTCTTTATCATTATACATATTTGTTGACTTATAAGCAGCTGTTGACAATAGTCTTCAGTAGTTCCTTAGAAATGCTTCTGGTGTCTGGAGCATCAAGTCTCCAAATCATGCAGAAATACTAACAGATTGATTGGAGGATTTCATCATGAGCTGACATCACTTAGAAAACCGTTGGAAAATCTGCCAAGCTGTCCTAGTTTGGAACTCTTCAGTAGTACGCACCCACCCCACTGTGGTTCGAACCCAGGACCTTCTGGTTAAAAGGCGACCGAGCTCGTAGACCATTAAGAAGCCACTGGGACCCGCCCTATCCTATAGGCAGCCCATGAATTCTAACTTCTGCCAAATCATGACATAGCGTGACGACCACTTCGCAATGTCTTCTTCGATGAGTTAATAACCCACCTTCAACCTTCAGCTCGTGATGAAATCCTCCAACTAATGGAACTAAATGCCTACAAAAATCAGTACTTGAAAAATACAAACAGACTTGAAGGCAATGTCAAAAATGCTGTCAGATGAGTAATCACAATATATTTCTTCATCAGTTTATCCTAGATTTGATAAAAGACTAAAGAGTCAAGTAATATTAACTAGTTCATCTAGTCCCAAACTCGTTATTGTGTTACTATTAATCCTTAGCTATAAAACTGAATGCAAGTGGAGTTAATGGTGATTTTTAGGCTGAAGACAAGTCTGAATATTACATGCTACAATCATGTTTATTCATTTATTCATTCATTTATTCGACAGTTATAACGTCAGAAAACTGCACTAATGAGCTTCTGAATACATTGATACAACATGCCTGATATATATAGTACCCCCCCCCATTCAATATCAGGTATTTTTACAGACATTATTTTGCTCGTGGTGTTGCATAATCACTGTGATTGTCCTTTATATAGAACAGCTGCTGACGGTTTAAAATGTGTTGCTAGGTAATTTATCAAATATTTTCAAGTATTGGTTTTGTAGGCATTTTTTTGTTTTTGTTTGATTGAATGGAGGATTTCATCATGAGCTGGAAAACCTGGGAGTACTAGACAGCTGTTTCGTCCTAGTTTGGGACTCCTCATCAGTACTCACCCACTGGGGTTCAAACCCAGGACCCTCTGGTTACAAGGCGAGCTCGTAGACCATTGAGCTACTGGGACACGATCCAATGGTCCTTCAATTCTGTCTTCTTCCAATTCACGATATAACGTGACCACTTCGCAATGTCTTCCTCGATGAGTTACTGCCACATCTTCAAACTGCTGTACCCTACTGGTCACGGCTTCCTACTAGAACCCCAGGTTAAGTGCCTGAATAGGGCCAGTTGCTAGTGAGCATCAGATCGATTTTCAAGTATTGGTTTTTTAGGGACTTTTTGTTT